CAAGTGTTTTCCCTACACTTTCTTCTAGTATTTTTATGGTTTCATGTCTTAAGTTTAAGTCTTTAATCCAGTGAGAGTCTAACTTAGTTAATGGTGATAGGTGATAGGGTCCAATGGAGGCAATTTTTATTGTGTTTGTATTCTCTGAAAATTTCTGCAGTAAACTTACTGTTTGGGATTACTTTTTAAGAGCTTCATTCACCTTGTCAATTCTCTGCAACAGAACAGCACACAAACAAAAAGATATATTGTCACCACCTCACAACCTTGGGGGAGTTAAAACAATTAGTGAGGGGAGGAGAATAAGACTGCAGTAACTTGACCTGTTAGAGTAAGTGACTGTAGCAGTTGTTCTTTCAAGGCATAAACTGACCCTCTATTGAGGAGAGAAATTTCCTCAATGCAGCTTCCCAGCACAGCAGCTGTGATTAAAGCTTTTCTGGGTCATTTCTGAAAAAAAGAGGAAAAGCTTTCACATTTTTTAGCCTGAAGGCAAGATAGCAAAGGCAAGGCACTAAAACGGAGAAAAGAACATGGGAAAGTGGCTGGAATTGGCACAAGAATTCACTGTGGTTCTTGTTTGTTTTAATCTTTTAAAATTGTGAAATACAGCATACATGTATAGAAGTGTGTATAAGACATAAACATATAACTTACTGAATTATTAGAAAGCAAACCTACATGTAGCGACTATTAGTGAGAGTTCACCTCTGAGCTGTCGATGGACCTGGTTCAGTTCACCCAGCAGAACTAGCAAATTCAGCTAAGTCAGAGGGAGAGCAAGACACTGGGGTAATGGAAAGTGAGGCACCTGGACCTCCAATAAAGCAGAATAGAAGCAAAGTTTTTACTTAAACTAAAAAAAGAAAAAGAAAGAATAAAGGAAAGCAGAGAAGAATGGCAAAGGACTTCCCCTGATGAGTGTGAAGACACGTATTTTCTCCCCAATTCCTCCTGCTCTCATCTGTAAGAGTTCCTAGTGGTCCCCTCAGGTGTCCTGGTGTCATTGGTTATAGATTACCTTAGTTGTCTCACAAATCCACTTTTCTTTACTCTGTAGCAATAATTATTAACTGTTATCTTACTAGTGATGGTATGGTGGTCTGTTAGTCTCATGATGTTTGTGGCAACTGTGGTGTGCGTTCTGCACCTTTGTTTTATGTCCGGGCCAGAGGTCATGGGTCACAGGCTAGAAAGTACATTTCTCAGGGACAGCATGAACTTAGTTAACCAGGTCACACTCACCCCAAATTTTTTATTTTGCTTTAGGGCCCTTTTCAACTTTCTTGTCCTGAAGGCCATAATTCTCTTCCATCTCCCTGTGGACCCTTTAACCCCTACTTCCATCCCTAATCACCACCACCCAAGTCAAGAACTAGAACATTACCAGCACCCAGAATATTCTTTCCCGGTCAAAATACTCCCTTCCTCCTTGCTAGAGGTAATTGCCATCCTGTCTCTTATGCAGAGCGTACTAGAGTTCAGTTTTGCCTGGCCTGAGATTTTATATAAGTGGGACCATACAGTGCATATATGTGGCTTCTCTCACTCCGTATCACGTTTAGGTACTTACCCACCTTCTTGGGTGTGGTTACAGAGTAGTAATTTTTCAACCGGTGTGCTGCGGCACTGGTGTGCTGTGAGAGGATCTTAGATGTGCCTTGAAAAATTTTAAAGATCATTAATTATTTTTGAAAGAAGTTCAAAGCATAGTAAATATATTTTTAACTCTTTTTTTATCAATATAATTTAAGTATGTCATGGAAGTTTTAATGTAAGTTCAAGTGTGTGTGATATAAAAATGTTTGAAAAATGCTGTTCTAGAGCTTTCATTTATTGCTGGTTAGTATCCCATCATAACTATATGCCACCATTTATTTATCCATTTTACTTTTGGCGGACATTTGGATTGTTTCTAGTTTGGGGGCTATTCCAAATAATGGACCCTGAGTTTGTTGGGGTAGGTATAGTCACACCGTCCAGCTGAAGGCTAACTGGTTTCCTGCAATGATTAGGAGCATCCTTGCTCCCACCTGGTCTGACTGGGTGGTCACTCACTGTGACCTGACTGTGCCTTCCCTTTCAACTGTTCTGCCCATTGTTTTACATACTGAGCAGTCTGTCATTCATTCAACTAACCACCACCACCATGACCCCTACCCCCTTCCCCCTACCCCCAAAGGTCACAGTGCAGGGGAATGTAGGTATGTTTGAAACACGTTCCCTGTCCTGAGAAGACTGAACAGCTATAAAGGCAGATGTACAAATAAGTAATACATAGTATAGTATTGTGGTGAATGCTGCATTCATATTCCCCACCACACTGACAGCTGAAAGATGGGATCCTTATTCGTGTCATGTCCTCAGTGCTTAGCACAGTATCTGACACATATTAGGGGCTTAGTAAAGTTTTGTTAAACGATCTGAGGCATTTTAAGTTGGGGTAAGCTCTGAGTAAGGAGAAGTACAGAATGAGGAACCACAAACTGCACCTGCTGCCCTACCCCTAGCTCACCCATGGGAGGAGGCCTCCTTATGAGGCAGAATTTGAAGCAGATTTGGAACGACTTTTCACTGGAGGGAGTACAGGAGCAAGTGCATCCAGGATGAAAGGCATAGGGAAGAAAGAGCACAGCCTACAGGAGAGCACGGAATCTGTAGTGACTAGCAGTGAGTACAGAGTGAGGAAACTGGAGAAATGGCCTCCACTGGAGAGAATGATGTGAAGGGTCCATGTTATGGTCTCAGAAGTAGTTGGGATAAATTTGAGATTAAACATGGAGAAAGAAATTTCTCACTGGAGAAGGGGGGCTGTTGAGCAATGGAATTGATCTGTGGAATCTTTTCCTGGATCTCATGAACAAAATCAAGCAGTTAGACAAGGTTGACCATGAAATAAATTGAATTTTCCCCTCTAGGTAAGAAGAATTAACTTTTTGAAAGCAGTGGTATAACTTGAGCAGGCGTAGATCCTGGGCAGAGATCTTTCGGCAGTCAAGCCTCAAGACTCTGCGCTTGTAAAGTGGGAATGAGCCCAGTGGGGTAGTTTTGTGATGCAAGCAGATCCCAAGTTGGTCGATTCAGCTCCCACATTGTCTTGCCACCTCTCAGCACCAGTATCTCTACTTGAGTTTGAAATACAGTGAAAGAGCAGTGGGGATGATAGGGTAAGGTGACCAGATGTCCTGCTTTTTAACAATTTGTCTCACGTCCTGCGGCGTTTTTAAAAAGTCCCGATTTTTGGAAAGAATGCACGACAATCTAGGGAAGGGTGGGACAAAGGGAAGGGAATAAACGGTTTTTGGCTGCTGAAAAGGTTAATGTAACTCCATTTGGGAATGAAGACGTTAATGTAACTTCATTTGGAAATGAAAAAGCTAATGTAAACTCCCTACTCCCCTCCTGGGCAAGGTCGCCAGGTGGACCGGCGCTCTCCTCCTTTTGGGTCACAGGCGCCGCCCTATACATAATTTTTTTAATGTATTATATTTGTAAATTGTACTTATGTTGAAATTTTTTTTAAAAATCACAATATTATTTTTGTGTTCTATGAAAATTTTTGTTGCTCCATATAGACCAAATTTTTAATCAAGAACACACCCCTCCTCCGCCCCACCCCTACCCCACCCCGGATCAATGGTGTCCCGCTTTACCAATGTTAAAATCTGGTCACCTTATGATAGGGTAGCCTTTTGGAGAGCTCTGCCACCCCTACCCCGCCTCGGGGACAGATCCTTGGGTATGTTCCCAGGACTGTATCCCCAGGGCTGAGCCTTCCCCAGGGTTCCTTCGTTATCTCTTTGTTGTGGCCCAGGTATTCCCTAGAGACTCGGACATTTACTCTAACTCTCCCGAAGAAAGGGCACCTCCTGCAGTTCTCCCACACTCAGGGGCTTTGTTTGTAGTCAGCGTGAAACTGTACTGCCGCTCACACGCATCTGCCCAGACTCCTCCTCTTCGGCAAACTTTCGAAGGGGCAGGCTTTCTGGGGAAACGAAAGCGAAACTGAGCCGGAGCCATCTTGGCATATGCACAGTCCGCAGGCTCCGGTCCGAGTCCCCTTCCGTGCGCGGAGCGGCAGGTGCCTGGGTGGGACAAGAGCGGCGAAGCCGGGAGGGCGGGCAGGCCATGCCTCGGGGGTGCCATGGACCCGCGGCAGGTAAGGGGACCAAGCCCTTACACCCTGTTGCAGTATGTGACGTATGCCTGTTTTGCGTCATGTAGAATTGCTGTTCCAGGAACTTGTATCATGCTAATTAATTCTGCAGTGTTGAGCAGTGTGTGGAAAAGGGGTTGGTGTGAAATACACCCCGTAAGCCGCAAGGCGCTAGCCTGTGTCCAGGTGGTCGCCTTCTAGTCCCTAGAGCCCCACCACCTACCTTCCTTCCGGCATCCACCTGTCTCCACCCTTCCCACTTCCTGAAGGCCTTCAGAGAATTAAAAATAGCCCTTAATTACACGTAGAAGAAAAGTTTATAACAGATGGATTCGTTATAGCTAAAGACTGGAAAAACACAAGTGTCCTCAGCAGTATAACAACCAGGCAGCGTGGCCCAGTGGGCTTTGCTCTGCGTACGAGGAGGAGCTGGGAACAGGCACAGGTCCCGGACTCCCAAATGCACTTTGCTGAGAAAAGGAAGCCAGACTTACAGGGCTGCGTACTGTGTGAGTCCAGTTTATATAACATTCTGGAAAATAAAGTTACAGGGACAGATCCAGGAGAGCCCAGGGCTAGGTGTGGGGGGGAAACCGCAGAGTGGCAGGAGAAAACTTGGTAGTAGTTGTCTAAACTCATAAAATCATACACTAAGAAGGGTAAATTTTACTGTATGTGAATTATATCCTTAATTTTTAAAATGCTATGTGCATGTACATATTTAAAAGCCTTCCTTTAAGGTGGGCCTCATGGCTTATGCCTGTAATCCTAGCTGTTTGGAAGGCCGAGCTAGGAGGATCTTTTGAGGCCAGGAGTTCCAGACCAGTCTGAATATATATAATATAATGAGATCAAAAAACAGAAACATTAGCCTGGTGTGGTAGGCACCTGTAGTCTCAGCTTGAGCTCAGGAGGCTGAGGTTACAGTGGGCTGTGATCGCATCCCTGCATTCCAGCCTAGGCAACAGAGCAAGTCTTAAAAAATAAAAATTTTAAAAACCTTCCTTTAAAAAGATTAAGAGAGTGCTGGTGGGAGTGGCTCAGGGACGTGGTGGCTCATGCCTATAATCGCAGCACTCTAGGAGGCCGGGTAAGTGGGAATCACCTGAGCTCACAGGTTCCAGACTAGCCTGAGCCAGAACGAGACACCCCCCACCCCCGTCTCTAAAAATATCCAGGCATTGTGGTGAACTCCTGTAGTCCCAGCTACTCGGGAAGCTGAGGGAAGAGAATCTCTTGAGCCCAAGAGTTTGAGGCTGCAGTGAGCTATGACACTATGGCACTACTGAGGGCAGCAAAGTAAAACTCTGTATAAATAAGATTAAGGAGGTCTGACTTGAAAGAAAAGCATTTCCTTATATACATCAGTGCATTGCCCTGTGGAACCCACGTGGTAAAGGCATAGGGTCTTATTTCTTGACCTTAGATGTGAAATCAAAGTGAAATTCAGAGGCAGTGTATGTTAAGTGACTTGTTGCATATGCTGAAGAGGTGTGAAAGAGGGGACACAGGTTCTGTCCTCTGGGAACACTAGGTCTCCGGCCTGGCCCACTCAACTGTCTGGATGTGGGCCACTGCACCAGCTTACTCAGGGTAGGACTCGTTCTCGTCCGGTGTGCCAAAGCACCTTAGAAGTCAACAGCCCATATTAGTAGGACCAAGCATCTCGGCAGCAATCTCAGTGGTTCTGGTCTGAGTAGCCTGTCCTGAGGTTATTTATAGAAATACTACACCACAGGTATGGGGACTGCTATGCAATAATATCAGTGCTCTCATGCTCTTTAACGAGATCAGTGATATTAAATGATGTTAAATCCCTTCCCCAATCCCTTATCACCAAAGTATTTCTCACAGTTGCCTCCTACAATTCCTTCTTTTGTGTATCTTAAAATTGTTTCAACTGGGGGACCATTCAACTGTCCTTGTAAGTGAAATTGTCACAATTCTTATCTCCGTCTCTGAAGATCTTACTGCTTTCACCACCTTTTGCTACTTCTCCCTTTAGTCTGCATTCTCCCACACTCTACAATTTCCAACATACACACCAACGGGAACTTTAACTCCTGTACTCAACTGCACACTTTTTACTTCTTATCCCAAGCTTCTTATTATCTTAAACCTCTTATACTTCCTGCATCTTATCTATTGTAAATTGTGTTAACCGGCAAACAAAAGGTCCCACCTTCCTGGAGGAGTGTTCCCATTGCTATATAAATTGTAAGGCACAAACAAAGGTCTTGCTTTCTTGCAGCCCTTAGCTAGTTGAAATATGATGAACAGGGACTCTACCCGAATTACAATGAGTGGGAACTCTAACCCCTGGCATCCCTTTGGGGACTTGTGCACTAGATAGGGACTCTGTCCCCTGGCATCACACTGGGGACTTGTGCACAAGGGGTTGAGGGCACTAACCCCTTAAGCACAACTGCACATTGTCTGCTCCCTACAAACTTCTTACACTTCCTATCTTCAAACTCCTCACACACATCTCATCTCAAAACTCCCTGTACCTTTTATCTCAAACTCCCCAAATTTCTTACACTACTTACATTTCTTATCTCAAACTTCCCATACTAAACTTATTCCTGACAAACCTCCTACATACTGTCTTTCATTCCCCAACGTTCCCAAAACTCAATGCCACTCTTTCACCTAAGGTATGTAATTGCTAAAGGCTTCACTTACTCTCACCCTTTCTTTAGCGGCTTCTTTTACTCACGAGTCTTAGCTTTCTGCTTTTCTTTTTTTTTTTTTTTTTTTTGAGACAGAGCCTCAAGCTATCCCCCTGGGTAGAGTGCCATGGCATCACAGCTCACAGCAACCTCCAACTCCTGGGCTCAAGCGAGTCTCCTGCCTCAGCCTCCCAAGTAGCTGGGACCACAGGCACCCGCCACAACGCCCGGCCATTTTTTGGTTGCAGCCATCATTGTTATTTGGTGGGCCCAGGCTGTATTTGAACCCACCACCTTAGGTGTATGTGGCTGGCACCTTAGCCACTTGAGCCACAGGCGCCGAGCCTCTTTCTGCTTTTCTTTCTCAAGACTTCACTTCCCCTGTTGTTTCTTCACCGGCACCCTAAATCTATCTCAATCCTTCCCTTTCAAACAGAACTCTTAACTGTTGGTAAGGGATTAGGGGCATTGGTCTCTCCAAAACTACTTCCTGTTGACAATGGCAGTTAAAGATTCTTTTCCTATATTATAAACTTTGTACTATAACATCTGCTAAAGGCTACTCCTGAGTATTTCCTTTTTTGGTCCACGTCCACTATCCCATCCTTGTTGCCACTTGTCAGGGCCTATCTGGGGACACCATGTCTCTGGCCCCAACCCAGGGCCTCTTTGGAGCTGGGACGCTAGGTCTCTGGCTCGGCCCACTCATCTCTCTGGATGTGGGCTGCTGCTTGGAGTAGGACTCGTTCTGGTCTCGGGTGCCAAAGCACCCTAGAAGTCACAGTGAATATTAGTAGGAGCGAGCATCTCGGCAGCTATCTCAGCAGCAGTCTGTCAGTCTTCATCCGAGCAGCCTCTCCTGAGGTTATATATAGAAGTACTACACCACAGGTGTGGAGACTGCTATGCAGTAATGTCGGTGTTCTCGTCACATGTTCTTAGGTGTGCTGATGCTCTTTAACGAGAGACCAATGATATTAAATGATGTTAAATTCTTTCCCCAATCCCTTATCGCCAAAGTATTTCTCACAAGTGCCTCTTGCACACCACAGGCAGGTTTCTCCCACTCTTGGTTTTACTCTAATTCAGTGGATAAACAAATAGCTATTCTCAAGGGGTAGCTTTGTTTTTAGGGGAAAGAGGGTTAAAAAGAAAAAATTTAATAATCCTCTCTCCCTCTAATCCTACTGCCCTGTTAATAGATTCATGCAATATGTCTTTTTTTCCTATGTTTTCATTCTAGTATGCACTCACGAGTACACACATGCACACACATTCATGAGTTTTCCCCTTTTATTTACCAAAAAAAGTTTATAACATACATGTTACTCTGCAACATGCTTTTTTTATTTTTTTATTTAACATTATATTGTTCTAAGTTTTCTATAAGTGAAAATAGATACAATGCATTTTTTTAAAGAATTAACTACTGTTCCATGATATGAATGTATGATTTATTTAACTGTTCAATAGTTGGACATTCAAATATTTTCCAGATTTTGGCTAAGAGTCAGAATGTAACTCTAGAAGGCATTTAGCTAGAAACTGACTTTAGTCGTTTTGAAACAAAGTTCTTTTTCCTCAAAGAGCTCATCAGAAACCCCTAAAGTGCCATAATTTGGCTCTAGAGTCAGACGCTGTGTACCCTAGCAGTATTGGTGGGGGCAACAAAAGGGGCAAGGAAAGGGAAGTGGCTGCTTATGTGGGGATGTCTTATTTGTACAACTACTAGCTCAGCATGCACGGGTTCAGGGCCAGGTCTGTGGAGGCAGCTGATGTGCAGTCTCTGTTCTTCCAACTATGGAGTCCACTGCAGCCTCATTGATACCACCTTGGGAGTATTGGGAGTGGAGAGTTCAGTATAATTTCTAGCACATCTAATATTGTTAACTAAAAATTAATCTTCAGGTACACTATAAATTCCAAGTGCCACTAAACTTTTTTTTAATCTATTAACTATGATAAAGGGTGTGATGGCTGCTTAGTGGGAGAAGTCCAAGAGAGGTGGGAGTTGGAAATCTGCAGAAAGTGGCATTTGAGGAGATACCTAAGAAGAGGTTGGAATTGTGATGGATGGTAGGGGAGGGGTCCACTTGGATTTGCACGTTAGAAGAATAGGAGGAGAGGCTATCACGTTGACTCAGGTGAGAGGTACTGTGGGACTAGAACTGGAAGGCACACTCAAGAGACAGTGGAGAGGGCTCGGCGCCTATAGCTCAACCGGCTAAGGCGCCAGCCACGTACACCTAAGGTGGCGGGTTCGAATCCCCAGCCCGGACCCACCAAACAACAATGACGGCTGCAACCAAAAAATAGC